TAATATGCAAAGTGGGGGTGGGAAAAGTTTTGATAATTTGATAATGTGTGTCACTTTTTTTTTGTTTATGCATCATAAGTGACGGGAATCCAGGTGAACTTTTTAACATTCAATAAAAACTATGTGTCAATGCGTCATCAAAACAGTTGTGTGAGTCTTGTAACTGGTTTTCTTTATTTATCAAAATAATGCTGATGACCGTCATGCTAAACTTTACATACAGTCATCGCTAAATTTAAATGTTTTACACGAGAAAGGTGTACAATACCTGTTAACAAATAGAGGTTAAACGTTTGATAGAATAACGTGTATAAATCAGTGCCTTTACCGTTATCCTCTTACTTGTGCCGTTTTCTTATTGTTCTTGCAAAAGTTATATGGTGCAATTTACATTGGAATGTAATTCAGTTTATTTACGAGACCTTTGGCAGCAATAATAATTTGCGATGGGTAGGTACATCTACTTTCAATTCGAAGTAAAATGTGGGCACTACTAAAATATTGGTGTGTGGGAATATGAAAAGAATATTGTAATTGTAACGCTCGTATTTAGTTACATTCCTTTCAAATGCATGCAAATAGTATTTTTTAAGGAAGTAACTGTTCTTTGAAGCGTGATATTCTTTTCGTCAATAATCTCACAGATCTGGTGTTACATGGGAAGTGTACAATTACGTGCTGGCACTTAATTATACCCATTTATTCTAAATGATATAGTCCCAAATTGTACGTTGTTAGTTCGCATCTTTACTTTCCAAGGAATTCGCTTTTTTTTCTAAATTTGCGTGCACGTTTACTAAAGAATTACCTACTATTACGTTTTTCTCACGTTTAAAATCTGTAATTAAACACTAATATAGGTAGAATTGTTTAATTCAGCCGTCTTTCTCGTAGTCGTTCCTTTACTAGCTAAGCTATAGCTACAGGTAGAGCACGTTTTGTTCTGGCGCTTAGTTCATGACTCTGCTACAATTGTAAGTGCGTAGCAATTAGCGAAGCTGAGCAAGTTTTTTTTAATTATCTTCTAACATACCTGCGCTGTTTTGCTCTGAAATCGAACGTAGTTTTTGTGTGACGCGTTGTGCATACAAATGAAATGGACCGTTTTTGTCCCACTAGCATGGTTTTTACCACAACAAACGTTTTATGAGTTCATATTTATGTTATATGCGGTTTTAAACTTTTGAAGCTTTCCGTTTAAATTAAATCAGTCATATTTCGAATTTTTTGATTCCTTTTTGAATCCTTATTTCAGCTTGAATCCTTATTTCATTAAGTGTACAATACACATGTTTTGTTTTCTTCTCTTTTTTGTAAATTATTGGAAAACCTAATGAAATAAAAATTATTATTATTATTTTTATTACAAGTATTTTTGAACTGGCACGTCTATCTAAATTAGGTATTATATAATTATCAATGAGCATTATTCATCTACGGTTGAAGTTTTTCTATGAATACCCCTAGCCGCCCTAGCTTTTCAAAATTGCAACAGATACACACTATAATTATACTTTCAAAATAGGTGGTAGTAATTTTTCCTAACATATTTTGCAAAATTTAATTTTTTTTCCGGTTATCTCCGAAAGTAGTCGAAATTTTTTCAGTTTCAAAACTGCAACTGCCAAATTTTAACTACCTACCTATCTCTTACAGTTCCCGATATCCCCTTGGTGGCCCTCGAATTTGAATCAGCCTAGCCTGTATATACAAGTTTCGCTTATTAGCGTGTAGTCATAGAGAGATGGTTAAATGGACAAAATGATCCTCGAGTTATGCTTAAATGAAATCAAAAAACAAAAATTTTCCTCGAAAGTTTACTAAATATGAGCAAAAATAACGTAATTGACATTTTTGATTTTTGGCTTTAAAACCGTTATTTGGGGAGGTATTTCAAAAACAAATAGACTTTTTTAAGGAACTTTTTCTGTTCTTTTAGTTGATGGAAATGAATTTTCGTTATCATTAATTGTTTGTTTTATATCGATACCAATTTTTGTTTTTCATATGGGAGCGATTTTAAAGATTTAGATCATCTAATAGAGACAAAAATCCTGATTTCAAAAATGTATAAGATGTTTATAAAAAAATTAAAAAAAAATTCATAAAAAAAGTAAACTTATATTTATATTAGTTTCGTTTCTATTTTTCCGTGACACACAGTTGACACGAATCTGTTTTTGGTTGTTGAGGATGAGGTGCAACATTGGAACTCCAATCAATTTGTGTTGCGAAAAGTAACAAAATTATGGTATCAACTTACCTACTTTTTAAATTTTTTTTAAATTGTGTAAGTAAAAAGAAACGCATTTTAGCGTGCGTGCGTATAAATTGGTATTAAAATACATCAACAAAAATTAATTAAATGCCGCCATTTTGAATCCCATACAAAATGGCGGCTTGTCATGTTCATAGTAATCCGTATGGTATGGATATCAAGTGAAAGGGTTTGGTAAGCGAAATACGGTAAACAAAGTTAGATTATTCTAAATACAAAATAGCATCAAATAAAATAATAAAATAAAATAATAAATGGTAAGAAAATAAAACAAAAATACATACTTTCATAGCGCGACATGCTATTTTTATTAAAATATATTAAATTCAAATCATGATCAATTTAAATCAGTGATAACTGAATTAATTCTCAGAAACTTATTTTGTTTGTTTTTAAAAATATTGTTTACCATTAAGTATTTTATTTTCAAAAAAAAGTGTTCCAAAATATTTCATTTGAGACCTACTCCTGCAAATGTCTAAAAATGTATGGTTTTTTCCTTGACATATCAAAGAACGGATCTAACGGCTATCCCTAGTTTTTTTTAATGCGCTTTCGGATTGAGTCGGGTCACGGGTGGTGCATTCCTAAATGGGCAAGTAAAAATTTTAAATGACGACGTAATTTCACCTGCATTACTCCTTGTGAACCGTCTTAAAACATCCCTAGTAGTTTTTCTGTCGGTGCCTTAATAAAGTAAGCGTAAAAGGAATTTATTTATATTTATTTAATTAGTATTTATTAGTAGATTGCAAGAGTTTAGCATTAATAATGGGTGCACTTCTGCTTTATTACAGAATCAATCTATTTCTATCGCAAATCGAGACTGAATCTGAGACTGTTAACTGAGAACAGTCTAGGCGTAGGTCGTGGCTCACTAAGTATTTTCGCATTCTTCTAGAGAGTAACACTCTTGATAAAACTAAAATAAAACCCCGCAACTCCTTTTTTGTAAAGGATTAACATTCGAAGAAATATTCGTTAGGCGACCTGAAGGTCCAAAGTTGTTAACGAATTCGACTGAATTTTTTATTTAGGTCAACCACAGCAACGATATTATGAATAAAACAAGTTTAAAAAGTCATTATTCAAACATAAATGACGAGAGCGTATTTTCTTCCTAATAATATTAATGCTAGGACAAGGAAAAATACCGGTAGGCACGAGATCCTTACCCCATTCTCTTTGAAATGAGCCGCCTATCGTCGAAGTCTATACAGTTTAATGAAAAATAGTGGAACGTATACAAATACAAACAAATTTTGAAATGGGTGTTAGTTTTACTTCTATTCGAAGTGTCTACATATGAAACTTTTTATAAATGCTTTGGTAAATAGCATTGCGCATGTCTACATTAGAAATTTCATTGAATACCTTCACAAATAAAACATACAGCATGCGTTAACAGTAATTTTGAAACCGGTATTAGTTTTATTTTAATTCAAACTGCTTACATCTGATATTTCATTTAACTGCTTTCATAAATAAGAAAGTTGCCATTGCGCATGCGCAAAACCAAAATTTAAAACTGGTGTTAGATTTGTCTTTATTCCAAATGTCTATGTATATAATATAATTTCATTTAAATGCTTTCATAAATAAGAAAGTTGGCATTGCGCATGCGCAAAACAACATTTTGAATACATCGTAAATTATTACTTATATTCGTAGTCTTTGCATCTTCATAAATAAAAAAGTTAGCATTGCAAATGCGTTAAACTAAATTTTTGATACGGCCCATGCGCAAAACCAAAAAATATGCACGGAATCCTTGGACCAAGCCCTTTCAAATGAGCCCTATATCGCCCAAATCGGTTCAATGGTGTAGAAGGAGTACGTGTGACGGACGGACGACAAAGTGCAGCCAATATGGATTTTTCACTTTGAGGAAAATACGCTAATAAAGTTTATTAAGCCTTACATTTAACAAAATGAAATAAAAGAGAGCAGAAAACACTAAATAAGGTCAGAAAGCTCAATTCGGCTAAACTGTTTTTCAATTCATATCCGTCTTGGGATTAGTAATTGAACCCACTAGGATTTTAAAAGTAGGTTTGCGCATGGGTTTGGAAATTGGGCCACTTGAATGAAATCATTTCCCATGGGTTTTCGAAACATTTCTAAAATTTCCTACACATTCCTTCAATATGTTTGATTTTTAGTAAAAGCAAACCCAAAATTAAAAATTTTCACCACGTGCTAAAAAACAATCACCCGCGCTGCGGCGTCTAATGGTAACTCTAAATAGGTCAATTTTGTACAAAAAATATAATACGAAGGTTCAAACTGCATTAAACAATAAACAAACTGTAACAACTCGCTCTAAAGGAAGTAAAACCAGTAGAGTTTCTTTTTCAAGACCAGACTGTATTATTTTATTGTTGAATAACTGTAGAAATATACAAACATTTTGGTACTCAAGGCCACCCACGTGTAATTAAACCAAATTTTAATTAAAAAAATATGTACTGCATAGGAAATTTACCATATATGTACAAAACTTCCGGGGCGATTATGATATTGCCAAGATTTAATGAATTTGCCTTGCTGGGTTTATGTTGTAAATACTCGCCAGCGTGTATTTGTTTTAAAATAGTAAACTTTTACTTGTGCATGTATTAATACCACTTTAAGGTAACCTTTGTTGTGGTTTTCCCAAAACAACGGCTTTTATTTTAACTGTTAACCTATTTTTCATACATTAATTGGCGTTTTCGTACAGGCTTTGAAACGAAAAGAGGATGACGTCGATAGAATGAGTACATCAACGCCTCCAGAGTCCGTCGGTGATTGTAGCACCAGTAGTCAAGGTAAGCGCGCGGGTGGGAAAATAAAGGTATTATTATGATAGCGATGCAATGGCAAGGTAGTTTATTCTCGAAGCGGTAAGAAGCGCGCAACTTCGTTCTCCGTAATAAGTGCATTCTCAGTTCTTATAATTACCTGCTTACCTACATGAAATTGCTCTTATCTACGTTTTATCAATTTAGATAAGAGTGGAATGTTATGGATTGAGTAAATTTGTAAATACAGTCTAACGCAAGTTGGGCATATCGCGACATGAGTACGCTACCAAAATTGCGCATTAATTCAAGAAATAACAAACTTTACTTCAAAGCGGGAAGTTTACCCCGTACAAAAATTGCCTCTTTCACAATTACCTCAAAAAATCCACTACCAGAACGGCGCGAACGTAAAGTACACTTTCTTAAGTACTCATCAGGTAAACTACTTAAATGGTCATTTACCCAACAGTTCTTAAGCTTTGTTTTTTTTATAGCGGGAGAATCGGACGCCACAGTAGAACTGCGTGAAGAAAAATATGAAATTCATATACAACGGTCGCGCACAGCCCTTGGTTTGTCAATCGCAGGCGGTCGAGGATCTACCCCATTTAAAGGAGAGGATGAAGGTATTTTTATTTCTCGGGTGACCGAAGGAGGTCCCGCCGAGTTGGCGGGCCTTCGAGTAGGTGACAAAGTGCTTAAAGTGAACGGTGTGTCAGTGTTGGATGTAAGTCACTACGAAGCGGTAGAGGTGTTAAAAGCGTCCGGAGCGGTACTTGTACTCGAAGTGAGTCGGGAAGTGACCAGGTTAGTTCAGGAACCCGAAGTAAATAGTGGAACGAATGTTAAACCGGAACCTCGCATTCCATCCCCCTTGCCTACCAACGATGAGGTGGTGCTTCATAAGATACTTATCCATACTACGCTTATTCGTGATACTAGGGGGTTGGGCTTTAGTATAGCCGGTGGGAAGGGGTCGCCACCGTTTAAGGCGGATAACGATTCGGTTTATATTTCGCGTATTACAGAGGGAGGTGTTGCTCAAAAGGATGGTAAATTAGCTGTAGGTGATCGAGTAGTTTCTATTAACGGTGTAGATCTTACATCTGTGACGCATGACCAGGCGGTATCTATGTTAACTGGTTTAGAACGTTTTGTTAGACTTGTGGTGGAACGTGAAGTTAATTTGCCACTGGATAGTCCGCTCCCATCGCCTGGACCGCAGCAGTCTCCTCGCTTGTTTGGATTGCCAAAGCCTTATACGGGCCTATATTCCGCAAGCAGTTATATGGCTAATCGACCTAGTTACACTGGATATAGAAGATCTTTGGACAGTGAAAAGAAGGTAATTGTTTTTTTGTTATTTTGACATTTTGAGGTTGGTTTTGACAATAACCAACAAATGGGTGTGTTGGAAGTGTGTCCGATGTAAAGTTGCGTCCTTTAAGCTGAGCAGTTGTTTCATGCTCATTGTGTCATTGGTCTCTTTGTCTTTAGCTTGAGCAACTTCAAGGAAACTAATGCAGAAACATAGTGTATAGACTGAGATGGAGGAAGTTGCACATAACTTTTTTTTGATATTTTGAATTCGATACCTTTGCGTTAAAGGTTAAGAGGGGGCATAATTTTAGGGTAGAAGTCTATGAGAAATGTTTGCAAAATCTGAAAAGGAATACTCCAAAGTCTAAACAAGTGTGTGTACCCATGCTATGCTAGTACCGAGGCTAATACACATGTAATGACACCTCGAACGACACAAATGTATTGATTTTATTGTTCGATAACAATAATAAAAACTGTGGTAATTACCCCGGGTGCATTCAGCATGATTAATTGAAACAACTTACGCTACTGGAATGTTTAACTTTGCTACAGTGTCCCCATTTCGAATTCACTTGTCATTCTGACAGAAAATTAACTTTTCCAATGAATGATACCTACGGTTTAAATATACTTGATATGTATTATCAAATAGTATTTTGAGGGTCATGAGATTTTTATTACATTACACTTTACGGAGTAGTAAAGGCAAATGGTTTGGCCTTGCCTATTGCTACTGACCTGAATATTAAACTGCTGATATAGTATAATTGAGAATATGATTCATATTATTTGAACTGTTCAGGTGACTAACATTGTAACGATTGCTTTGCCATGTTTGGAATGCGCTCTTTCTAAATTGTTTCTCCAAATCGATGAATTAATGAGCTGGAAATAAACTTTGTAATTTCCTAAATTCTTCGCATTCCTCTCTAGTTTTTTGTTCACGTGTTTTTGCTGCAGGTAGTAAACAATAAGAGTTTAGAAGATCAAGGTTGAAGTAATACTTCCCATTATTACATTATTTTTCATTAAGAGCTTTTAGGGGCGGGGCACATGATTCACTGACAACAACTGTAGAAAAAACTCAAAAAACCACCAACGGTTTTGTTTAATTTAGTTAGTTAATTAGTTTAATTACTTTGGTTTGAAAAAACAATAAAGACAGACTCAGTTAGGTATTGTCTGAAAATACAAACCCAGATTGTCCAATTGGAAAATTTCATTTCTTCAAAAATTGTGCATTTTATGATTGCGTATGGTATTTTTCCCTCTAGCTCATTATGTACCTGTTCACTTTTTTACGTAGTTCCTTGAAAAACCATTGACATTATTTAATAATTTACCTTCAACTCTTCAAAAATTAGACAAGTTCGAAAATGTAAAAGATACCTTTCGAATTTTTTAATATTTTTTTTACTGTTGTATCAACTCTCACGAACTGCTAACACTAAGATATCATATACAGGGTGTTACATGACCGTATGTAAACAAAAATTGGGTGATAGAGGAGATCAAGACAAGAACTTTTTCCAAATAAACTGAGAGTCCAACGTGTTTCGTTTAGTAGCCACCCCGAAAGAAGTGGTTAAATTTGGATTTCTTCTCTCATTTTTTTCTCAGCAAACATAAGAGTTACAAAGATGGGTAACACGTCTTTGAATAGGTTTTCGGGTATGCCCTATCCGATTTTGAAAAAATGTTTCTAAAATTCTTACCACGGAAGGGCGCACCCCCACTTGGAGGGTGCGAAAAAAATTCTGATTTCGACGAAATTTGGTATCTGGGTGTTTTTGAAGATGAAAATGACGAATCTGGAATTAGTTTTTGAAAATTCGAAAAAAAAAAGTTCCACTGAAATTCTTGGACAACGAAAATTGAGAGAATTCCACGAAATTTGTTGTGTACATACTTGATGAGTTAAGGAACAAAATTGTCTAACAGTTTTTTAAAATAACTATTCAAACAAAAGTTATACTTATTTGAAGATTGGGCCTTCGGGTTACAAGGTATCCCCCGCCAAATTTCGTCGAAACCAGAATTTTTTTTCGCACCCCCGAGTAGGGGTGCGCCCTTTCGTGGTAGGAATTTTGGAAAAAAAATTTCGAAATCGGATAGGGCATACCCGAAAACCTATTCAAAGACATGCCGCTCATCTTTGTAACTCTTATGGTTGCCGAGAAAAACATTAAAAATGAAATCCAAATTTCACCACTTCTTTGAGGGTGGCTCCCAAACGAAACACGTTGGACCCTCGGTTTATTTGGAAAAATTCTTGTCTTGATCTCCTCTATCCGATTTTTTACATGCGGTCATGTAACACCCTGTATAACAACTCGTATTTTTTTAAATAGCAACCACTAGTTTTCATTAGGTACATATTCTTAGAGTATTCTTTTTTGAATATAGCAACATAAAAAACTTATAATAGTCAAACAAGGAAAATAGTTGTTGTTAATTAATTTCATAATTTTCCTAGCGCGAATCATGTTTTCTTATTATATGTTATCATATTTAAAGTTTTGTTAATAATACCTCACGAAAAGTAGCACTTTCCACTCAAAAAAGTGATCCTCTTAGTCTCGGTAGCCGCACGCCACTATAAATAATTTTTAAAGATGTTGGTTTACTTTTTTTAAATGATTTTTGCTTTGACCAAATTAACAAAAGATAAGATTTTTTTCAATGCAAACTAGTGAAATTGTTAAATTAATTAACACATTTTCCATAACTTAGGTTTTTGATTGTGTAGGTAATATAATTAAGTTTTTAATGCAATAAAGTGCGCTTCTTAAGAATATGTAATGAAAAGTAGTGGTTGCCATTAAAAAAAATTTGAATTAAAATAATTAATTAAGAATAAGTAATTATTATTTTGGATACCATTAATAAGCTTCTTTACAAATAAACTTTGTTTTGAAGTTTTCCGGACAAAAAGTTCACCTTGTATTTTCGCAGCATAACTTAAGATTTCCAAAGTTTCTGTATAGTTCCTAAACATTTCTCTACATTTTTATATCAAAAACATTTCCAAAATTTGCAAAACGTTTTCTATATTTTGTGCATATTTGTAAAATTTCCTTAATGCTACCACTTACGACAGTGAAGTTGTAATAGATGAATTCACTCTTGAATTCACTTCAATTTATACCGTCTGTACCCGAAATTCCTGGTTTAGATAGACTGTAAGTCGACCTAAACAATGTTAACAATAAAGTGAAATTGAATTATTCTTTGTTAAATGATGAAAGTTTATTACTTGTGTACTCCATGTATTCCATGCAGGGTGAACGAAGGAAAATATTTTTTTGTAAAGAAGTTTTCATGGAGGATTGTTGGAGAGATTGTTACATGAAATAACTTTTTTTTAGGATATTGGACTAAGAAAGAAACTGACCTTTTTGTGTGAATTGAATTAAAACCGAATCTTTTAATTACGATTTCTAATTAAATGTTTCATTTTAAGGTGAGCGAAACAACACCTACAGAAACCAAAACAAATGGGCTGGATCACCACACCAAAGCAGAACCCCCACAACCGGCACCGAGGCGCTTAAACTCTCAAAGTAGCGACACTGTACCGCCACAACCGTCTACCGAAAAGAAACCTACAGACAATGCGTCCACATTAACCAATAATCACGAAGAATCATATCAGAAGAAAGTTTCGTCCAACACCTCTTTAGAAGGAGACGATATTCAGGTACAACCGAAGCCCATCACAAATGAGGACTTCCAAGCTATGATACCTGACCATTTTTTAAATAAACCCCACCACGCTCCCGAGCCTTCTCACTCAGTGACAGTTACTATCCATAAACCTGATCCCATCGAATTACCCCCACCGCCAGTGGGACCCGGACGCGTCACCGAAACCATCACCAAGAGTACCTTCACTGAAACTGTTGTTACTCGCATCACAGACAATAAGCTGAACGAGCCTGTTATCATCGAGGTATGCCTGCTGCTGCATCTTCTCTGCATGTTATAACTTGTATAGGAGTATTTTGCATGTGATTTTCATCAGTGTTAAGTCTAAAGTCATCCTTGAGCAGTGGGTTTGTGGGTAGTATACAGTTTGTAAATTCATAACATATCTACTAACCAAGAGCTTTGATGCTTGTTCTAAGTTCGCAATAATTTTAGCTTTAATAATGGACGATGATACTTCTAATGTATCTTAGTACCTTCAAATGATGACCACTGATGGCGTGTTTCTCTTTATAATTTTAAGAAATAAGTTTCTCCACTCCCTCTACAAAAGCTTGTGGACAACTTTCTTTACCAAACTGCAAAATAACTTTTCATGCGAATTAATATTTTGGAATTCATTAATTTTCAACTGTATCCTGTTCATCTTTAAGTACAGCTGAAACGCTTAACAGTGAATTTACTTACAGACAGAGAATTTTGATGGTGATTCAATCATTCTTTCTATTTCCACATCGTATTAGCGATGACAAAATGTTAATGGTGATATAGAACACCTGGATACTTGGTGTGGTTGTCACTCAATACTTAGTAGTATACTAAGAAGGAGTTAAGATAGGATTGCTATTTTTTCTATGGTAACAATTTTGAAAAGTCTACCTCTGATCATAACATAATTATAAAAACAAGTTAAAAAAAGTCTCTGATATGCCAATCACTAGATAGCAATTTTGATGTGGCTTTCACATCATTTAGCAATTTTGTTTTCATTGATTCCGCCGTGATTTTTATGCCTGAATGTTTGATGGCCATTATCATTGAATCATAACGTTCTGGCAAACTGTGAATTAAACGCTACCTACTCCCAACCAAAAATCGGGAATCGCCCAGCTAATGGCGCTCATCTTGTGTGCCGTGTTCATATTTTCTGTACGTACGCTTCGGTCTTTTGACCATCCATCAAGGGAATTGAATTGTCGATACAGGGAACCTTTATATTTTTACATAACACAAATTTGTCCATAAATCACCCAGTGTTTTTGCATCTCAAATATGAATAAAACCTGATTGGCCACAAAGTATTAACTTCAGTTTTGTTTCCTCGCTTCTTTTGCTGCTACAACTTCGTATGAATTATCGACCTTTCAATTTTTCAATGTAGTTTGACGGCGATGACAGTTTGAGATTCAACAACGAATCATGTAAAAATTTATTGACCATGCGGCCAGAGCTGGGTTGAGCGTTCTAAAAAACCGCTCGACCGACGAGCGCTCTAATATTCTGAAAAATGCTCGCGAGCATCGAGTTGGTTTGCAAAGCGAAACCGCTTGCGAGTTCCGAACACTCCTAAAAGTGCCTGAGCGGTTTATCGCGAGCGCTCGGGAAAAGTGCTTGTGAGCGGAAAAACCGCTCGCAAGCGGAAAAAGATCTGGCGAACAGAAAAAAACGCTCATGAGCGGAAACACCGCTCGTGGGCAGATAAAAAGCGCTCGAGCGCCGAGCACTTTAAGTTAACACTCAAGTATTGAACACCAAGCGGCCGCTCTGAAAAGTGCTCCGGCGCTTTTTCCGCTTGGAGCGCTTTTTCAGGCGGAACGCTCGCGAGCAGTACCCAGCTCTGCATGCAGCACATAGTGTGTTAGCAGAGTAAATAATTTCGTATATGTGAATTAGATAAGATCGGACAACTATTTCATTAAACGAAAAACTGGTATTCATACACACTAGGATATTCTATTTCCTTATTTTTAACATTTGCAGGAAATTCATAAATGATCAACTTCAGGAATGGCTTTCAACTTTCAGACTAAGGGCCGATCCTACAATGCAGGTATATACTGAGGATAAGCTATACCTCGAATAAACGTCGACAGTTGCGTTGGTTACCATTGAGTCTTGTTACTTGGGTGGTCCCCCCAGGGCAAAATGCCCCTTCGGGTCCCGGGTCGCAGGCATCCTCGGACGACAGGGACACCACGCCGACAATCGCCCCACTACGCCGCACCTTGAGCAGAATATTGTGGCTCGTGGGGCCGGACATGCCCTACGCCAATGCCCGGTCCTCCCGCACCTCCAACACAAGTGAACCGCCAGTTCGGGGTCCCTGGCACTGGTCACCCGCAGCAGGAATGCGGGCTCCTCCACTCGTCCTCGTAGCGAAATCGGGGCTGTCTCTTCTCCGGAGCCGGTCTGGGTCCCCACAGAACGGGTTGCGGGGGGGGGAGGCTTGTGTTCCTACCGCTCGGGTTTCCGTCCTCCTGCGACTTACTGTCTGGGGCCACTCTTCCTCCTCCAACGTCTCCACCCAATCTAACACCTCCAATTCTGAGTCGGACATTCTAAAACAATATACGAACACACTCCAGACTTATACGGTCGGTCACAGCGGTACAACACATAAATTCTTCCCCACTGGGACGGATAAACCGGGACGGAGCGAACTACGGAATTATGGTCGATAGGGTTTCAAATCTTTTACGTGGACTCTCGGACGGATGTTTCAGGGTGTATACCACCGGTGACTCTACTTTGTGGATTACATATGGGCCGGAGTACTTCGGCGCCAATTTCGCGGCATACCCCATGGCAGCTTTGGACAGGGGGTGGTCTTTCCGGAGTACCAAATCACCCACATGCGGTTTCCATTCTCGGTGTCGGAGGTTGTAATGATGCGCCTGTTTGGAAAACGCTCGGCCTATATTCTTTATATTTTCCAATTTTATTCATCTCATCAAAATTTTGAGATCAGGTTATTTTTAAGTAGTTAATGAACTTGTATAAGTCTATATTTTGAAAATATAACTAGCGACTAACTGAAACACATCCTGAAGATTGTCTAAACGGTTACGGTGTTCGGGAATTTCGGCGGTCAAGTCGGTAGGGGTATCGGGATTCGGAGGTTCTTGCTGACGGTGGATAGTATTCGGAAGGACAAGTTCACGGGCAAAATTCAAGTAGGCGGGAGAAAATCCGGTTGATTCTTGGACGGAGGAATTCATAGCCATCATGAAATGAGGTAAAAACCTATCCCAACTCCGGTGATTTTCTTCACAAAACTGAGCGATCATGGTTTTCAAGGTTCGGTTGGCACGTTCGACGGGATTGGCCTGCGGAGTATACGGCGGTGTGAAACGGTGGGTAATACCAAGTTCGGAGAAGAGATTTTTTAAATTTCGGCTGTCATACTGGGCTCCATTATCGGTAATCAAAATCCTCGGTGTACCAAAACGTGTAACAACTTCCTCAAATAAAGCCTGAGAAACAGTAGCGGCGGTGGCTTTACGGACGGCTTTGAAACATACCCATTTGGTAAAACTGTCCTGGAAAACCAGAAGATATTGGTTTGCTTTCGAGGAACGGGGAAGTGGGCCTACAATGTCGGTACTGACAATGTCCCAGGGTAAACGGTTAGGATATAGCTGCATTTTCCCTGCGGCTTGCCGTTGAGATACCTTGTACCGTTGGCAAGACTCACAGTGACGGACATACTTAGCTACATCTCGGAACATACCTGGCCAATAATAATGATCTAAGATTCTGTTTACGGTTTTGGTGACACCTAAATGTCCGGCGGTAGGTGAATCATGATTTTCATGCAAGATACGGTTTCGGTTCTGTTTGGCAACACAAAGTTTCCACGGATCGGTAACGGTTTCATCTTTTGTGTTAGAATGAAAATGACGGTACAAATTATTGTTACGGATGCAATAATCCGGTACGGTATCGGGTCGGTCGGTTACGGCATTAAATTTATTTCGGTACCAAGAGCATTCGGGTAACTCAAGGGCAAAAATCGGTACTTCGGAAGTTTCGGTAGTGTCAGTCTCGGTATGAGGTAAAGGATCACGGGAAAGAGCATCGGCAACACGGTTGAGGATTCCTCTTCGGTACTTGATCTCGAAGTCATACTGCTGCATGAAAAATCTTGCTAGACGGCCGGTCGGACTTTTGATTGAATGCAGCCAGCGTAAAGACTGATGGTCGGATAGTACGGTGAAATGATAGCCTTCCAGGTACGATCTCATCTTCTCAATTCCCCAGACAATGGCTAAGCATTCTTTCTCGGTAACGGAATAATTTGACTCGGCGGATGTTAAGGTGCGACTTGCATACGCAATCACTCGGTCATCTCCATCGATTTGCTGTGTGAGAGCTGCGCCAAGTCCGGTGTTGGAAGCATCGGTTTGTAAAACGAACGGTCGGTCGAAATCAGGACAAGACAGTATCGGTGCATTGGTTAGACGGTTCTTTAGAGTTTCGAAAGCTTGTTCTTGTTCTTGAATTAAATCTAGCGCCATTACGGTTAAGACGTGACAAATTTTCAAAAAGCGGGGGGGGGGGGCAACTTAACGTTTTTAAAAGTTACTTTTTTTTTAACATCTTTTCATACGAAATTGTACTCTCAGGTATGCGCTGAAATGCGCCGTAAAAAGATATCTTTGCGCCATTCTTGTTTTTTGGTTATCCTTAAATATATTTGGGAGGGGCCAAGTGAACGGAACCCCCAATGACGCATTTTGCTACCGGTATTTGTGCCACTCGATACATCTGGTTATGCGCTCAATTGCGCCACTTGAATTAAATTAAAGCTAGCGCCATTTCGGTTAAGCCATAAAAAATTTTTAAAAAGCGAGGGGGGCTAACTTAACGTTTTCAAAAGTTACGTTTTTTAACATGTTTTTTCTACTACATCGTACCTTTCATCATGCGCTAAAATGAGCCGTTAACATAAATCTTTGCGCCATTATAGTGTTTGAGAAACACTATACAGGGTGTTTTTTGGAAGCTTTAGTTAAACGTTTCTGGGAAAGTAAAATAGGTAGGTTTTTAAAAATTTGTACTTAGGAGTTGCTCCGAAGGCCGAATCGATATAAAATATTTTCAAAATGGACGCACTTCCGGAAATACCGGAAGTGGCTAGTAACTTCGTTATTTTAAATGGCAACCCCTATTTTTTATTACATTTCTGGATTCTAGTGGAACGTGTTTTCACCAATCACAGTGAAGATTAAACTGTCCCTATGCTTTCTACCGCTACCTTCTTAAAATGAATAGCGTTATAGTTCTATAGGTACTAAAAAAGGTTCTCAAAAACTAAAATGCGCAAAGATTTATGTTAACGGCTCATTTTAGCGCATGATGAAAGGTACGATGTAGTAGAAAAAACATGTTAAAAAATGTAACTTTTGAAAACGTTAAGTTAGCCCCCCCCCCGCTTTTTGAAAATTTGTCACCGCTTAACCGTAATGGCGCTAGCTTTAATTCAAGTGGCGCAATTGAGCGCATAACCAAATGTATCAGGTGACTTAGTTACACGCGACAAAATACATACGGGGGGGGATACGTTCACTTGCCCCCCCCCCAATGTTTTTTCGGATTTCTAAAAAACGATAATGACGCAAGAGTTATTATCGGTGGCGCATATGAGCGCATAACGAGCGCAAAATAATACGACTATCAAATTTCTCAGTGGGGGGGCCAAGTTAACGGACCCTTGATTTAGAATATTTTTAGCATTCATTCTTAACCTTCTGTTACCAATTTAAGCCATGTATGGATAATTTTAATTATTAAATACTTACGTTTGAATTATTACGCTCATTAAATACGCGGAGTTAGGGCCCGCCGTCTACTACCAACTACATTCTTCTTCAAGATGAAAGCACATATCTCATAGATTCTACTTGCGCGAAAAAAAAACACAACAATTCTCACGTAAAAACAGCAAATACACGTTTGCAAGTGTTACTAACACTATTAGTACAGTTGTCACATTTTTGTAATAAGTAAAATCAGTAGAAAACACTCACAGTGTAGATGCGCACATGAATATATGTGAAAGGTTTTGAGTTTTTTTTTTACTTTACTGTATTAGTGTAAGCCACAACTACAGAGAGGTGATCATGTACAAAATTGCTATAAAAAATGTTGGAAGTTACACAACAAGTCATTACTCATATATTTGTATTCAGGACTGTGATGCCATTGGGTTCAAAAGGGGAACTTCGCTCCATGGTATGTTTCGGGTACTACAAACCGCATTTGCAACAATAAATAGCCTAAGGATATGTTGTGTCTGAGCACTCAGCAGGTGAAAATAAACGTTTTAACGTGTTTGGTATGTGTTTGTCATGGAGGTAATCGAACGATTATAAATTGCGTGTAAAGATCAACATTTTTCTAGATGATAGTGGAGGGCTTATTTGTCTCCAATGGAACAGAGTCATATTGGTTAGCTTAGTCAATGAATTCTCAAAAAGGCATGTATAATTTTTAGAGAGAGAGACGATTACAAGATGTCATTTTTGATAAAGTCTATACAGCAACCAAAACAAAACAAGTATAAATTGTGCAGATAAAGCGCTTTTTTTTATCCGAAATAGCTTTTGTTTTGACATCACCAATGGATATATTTCTTGCAGACGTCCTAATCGCCCTTTTTGAGTACCCTCTTCAGACAATCCGTTCTTGAAACATAAGGGAATATACCCGATCACGATAAGAGGTTGAGGAGGGTTATGGTTGGTATTAATTCCTTTCGTTGAGACCTTTCATTAGAGTACCATGAAGGATAAAACTAGTTCCACTCCGTCCCCCTCCCCCTCCACCCTGTACTTTGATGAGGACAAAAAGAAGTGCAGTAGTTGGTAGAAAACGGTTTCTTTTGTTGAGACCTTTAATTAAAATACAATGAGAGATAAAAAGAGTCACACGGGAAAGTTATAGTCTGTACAAACCAATTTATTTCGATGAGACCTTTCATTACCATGAAGGGTAGAACATGTGTTTCCCCCCCCCCCCCATTTTCTAAAGTTTAACTTGGCATCACTAAAGACCAATTGGTTGGCTTATGTAAAATTTAAGCACGTTTTACTTTCAAAAACAGCATCTCAGGAAATAATTCGTGAGGGGGGGCCCCCCTTTTAGACAACGAAATTTGATGGCCGTCTGGCAAACCTTCAAGCTACTGCAAAAAATTCCAGGATTCTATAGGACCATTCCCCTAGAAGTAGTTCGAAACGGCAGAAGTGGGTCTGGACCTGGTCCGGACGGACGGACAAAACGCAAACAATACCACATTTTTTTTTAATTCTTAAAAAATGCGCTAAAAAATTAATGATTACTTTTCCTAGTGCGTACGAAATTACGTATTTGCGTATATTTTGTATTTCAAAACCTTATTTTACAGCAGAAATCATTATAAAACTTCTGAAAATTTAGACGTCAAAAATAGCAAGGTTGGGTTATCTTCTGTCGCTTGAATGGGAACAGTATTGTTTTCTTTTCCGAACTTCATTCTATCTTGTGCTCCGCGTCCCATAAGAATGACGGATGTCGATTAAATCATTTGCTTCACTTTTCTATCCTTGCTGTTAAAGAGATCACTTTAACAACTATTACTGCTACGGACAGACTTTAGCCTACTCATTAAAATTTAACCAATTTAACATCTGCTATAAAATCAAAGTATTAAAATTCCGTACTTTTTGTGTGGGTGGGGCAAACAATTCCTAAAAAGTATTTTTCTGACTCCTATATGTGAATTCACACACGAAGTAAATGGGGGATAGGCCCAATCATAACGTGATAATGAGCCAAACAGCTCTTTAGTCGTTTTCTATCAATGTCCTGATGTTGTTCAGTTGACATTTTTCATATTCATATTATTGTAAACTTTGTTACTGATATTTCTTTTTTTTTGTTGTAAATACAGTTTTTGTTTATAATGTTACAATGTTGCATAGACCACGGCATGTCAATCCTTTTGTCACTTGATTGCCAGTCTTCTGAAACTAATACTAAGAAGCTTGGATACAGAATGAATACATCTTTCTAATAAGGTTGAGATTTTTGACATGTTTCACGATTTCTCAAATCTCAATATCAAATGATTTTCTCGGGTTGGTTCATTTTAACTGGAATGCACAGTATACAGTGAGTTCCTCTTAGAAGTAAAACTAGTATGTCATTATCCCAATGTTCCCTGACAAAAAAAAACACTTCAACTTAATTAGCAAGTGTGTACTTTTTTATCTTGGAACTACTTTTTAATAATTATTTTATTTGAAGTTGGGCACTTTTCTATAACCCACTACAGTAATCTATGGATAATCCGAACGCGCCAAATTGTGTGCAATGCCACCCACAAAACACCTGACCAGATAGCTAAAAACAAGTCAAAATTGAAACTTAGAATTTTTCTCCTCGTACCCTTCCAGTAGATAGAGGGTCACTTGTGCCAGACAGTCACGTGACGCGCCAGACAGTGAGGTTATCGCGCACGTGCGCTTTAGGTATCTGCGACGTCTTGTTGTCTGACCTTCGGCCAGTTCGAGTGAAGGCATCATGGAGAGAAGGTATTTTGCTAGTTGGCCAAGGGTGCGAATCATATTTTGGGGGTTGTTTCGGGTGCTTAGAGCAGACACTCAGATTTCCGATATTGGAACGCTGTCTCGTTATACCCGGTTTACATGTTTCATGTTAATCGCCTCCATAGTTCATGTATTTTGGCAAGTAGGCTAGGTATCTCTTACGGTGTCAGCGCGGAAATTTAATGGGGTTTTTGCCAGAGCGCGTCGAAATTTGAAGTTGATCCTATTATGGAAATCACCTGCAGAGGAATGCATTTATTTATAGAATATAAAAATTACCTAACATTGCATCATCTTCGAGTGACAGCTGTAATAAAATTGCATTTATCCTACTACGTCAGTCAGTATCCGCTTGAACGTTAGTGGAGGTGGTTCTTCTGTTTCTTTGTTAACGTCTCCGTACGAGTAGCGAAAAATTACAGATTAGAAGGTGTGCTTTGTCTTCCATCAATTGCCTAACCAATTTTCATTGAAATTTAAAGTCTTGTCGAAGTAGTATCGACTTTAATCCAATCACGTGATTATTCGGTTTCTATAAAAGCTCAACGTTTTCACAATTCCAGACAGTTTCATACCAAGCTCAAGTGAGTGACGGATGTTACTTTTACACCTCCCAGCTGCATAAGTGCATTTAGTCGACGATAAAGTGTAGTAACAAATTTATAATTGGGTTACTCTTACTACCCTGAACGGCTGTAATTAAAAATTCAATCAAATCAATTACTATTACGAAAAATTGAACAATCGAGTTAATTATTGCGTCAGTTTTTACAATCTGAAACGTCGCATTCCCTTTAGTACGCAAGTGCAGCTTAACTGCAAGGTGTTGCTGTGTTTTGTTTCAGCTATCCACGTTCTATTACAAATTATTCTTCGGATCACACGGCTTATACGCCCTACCTCTACTTAATTCTTAGTGTGTAAAGAATTACTAAAAAAATCAATTTCTCACAGTAGCTTATTGCACCTGGAAGTGTTTATGACTAATTAATCAAATCTCTTATCATTAAGCAAAATTGCACAACGTGTAAAATTATATTGCATCACTTTTTTACAACTCTGGGAAACTTCGCATTCCGTTTTAGATTTAGTACGCATCTACAGCTCAAGGAGCCTGGTTTTGTTAAAAACTGAGATTGTTTGTACCATTAAAAGTATTTGGTAGATCACGGGCATATGCATCCTGGTTAATCGTAGTGCGTGTGGAATTATTCAAAAATAAGAAACCTATATCTCGAATAAGCCATACACGTTTTACTTATAAATTACACGAAATTATTCGGCAGTGCCTACGAACACGTGATTTTTCAGTATAAAATCCAACTTGTCAACATTTTTATTCAGTAGTCGATTGAATCCCGCGTGTGACTGACTGACTTGACGATATAATCGGCATTTTTTACAATACTGATTGATAAACTTACTCATCAAGGAATAATATATCTTTCCCAGAACGAAATACATCTTCACCCATCAAGCGATACCTTAGTTGTTTCTATTCTTCCGTGTTAAAATTATTTTGGCGTAAGGTACCTAGTATCGGTGAAAAACAAGATCACTTAGGTACACACTCTACAAGAAATACTCCTCTGCTACATTACTTCCAAAAATAATCTAATTATGCGCAAGTTTGTAATTGAGAGTGAGTTTGAAAAGAACGTCAAACGATTTGGTTTAAAAGGACGATCTATTCAGTTTAGGTTAAAACAAATACCACCTAACGAAAATAGCATATTATGGATTAAGAACGCGATCAGGCAAATAATCACGTATGCATGTAATAAGGTTTCGGCTGAAGACATGGTAGGATTTACTTTTTGTTCTAAAAAATTTTCGCGAGGAGGGGGTTATTTGAAGTTCCAACGCGCTGATTCAGTATATTTTGAAGACATATGGGAGCTAATTTCGTCTATATATCAATCAAATTCGGACGGATTGAGCACAGAAACTTTTTGTTTGGAGGCGACCATTGTCCGTACCCCATTAGGCAGGGGGAGATCAGCTTGTAGCAAATACATAGGTTTCGAGGAGGAGTGTAAAGCAAGGCGAGGTATTGTTTACATAAAAAATGTAGATAATTTATGTTTACCTCGAGCTCTTGTTGTTGCTATAGCCAATACAACTGATGATCCTGATTATCAAAATATACGAAAGGATATAGCACAAATTCAATATAAGAAAGCAAAACAATTAATGCAAGAAGCCGACATTGAGATTGGAAGAAACGGGGCGGGTTTACCCGAATTAGAAAAGTTTCAGTCGCATCTAAATAATTTTAAAATTGTTGTTTACAACTATGGGTCCAAAGGGCGCGATCTTATTTTCGAGGGTGATTCTGAGGCAACGCTAAAAATTAATTTGTTGTACTATAATAATCATTACAATGTAATAACCTCACTAACGGCTGCTTTTGCGTGCGTGTATTTTTGCGACAAGTGTCACGTGGGCTATAACAATAAATTCGATCACAAGTGTGTTGGTGTTTGTTCATCGTGCAAACATTCTCCTCCATGCGATCGTGGTCAGGCAATAAATTGCCCAGACTGTTGCAGATATTTTGTCTCTAAAACATGTTTTGATAAACACAAAGAATTAGGGCATAAAGAGCATAAAACAATTTGCGAAAAAATATTTAAGTGTAAAACCTGTTACAAAACAGTTCGAAAAGGGACGGACCACAAATGTAACTCATATTACTGTAAAACATGCAAGAAAAGTCGGCCAGATGATCATCTTTGTTATATGCCTGTAGATAATTCATCACCTAATTTAAAAGATTTTTTATTCATTTTCTATGACCTTGAATGTACGCAAGACAAAAAATTTAGCGAGTTGAAAACTTTACACGAGCCAAATTTGTGCGTTTTTAACCAAAGGTGCGAGATGTGTCTAAATGATCCCTTGGAAAAGATTATCTTCAATAACTGTGCCGTTCGACGGCAGATCCTAAAATTTTCCGATGTTATTGAAAGATTTGTTCATTACATTCTAGAGATAAAAAAAAGATTCAAACGCGTAATCGTTTTGGCTCATAATGGGCAAGCGTATGATCATCAATTTATTTTAAATTACATTTTAACCAAAACTAAATTTAAACCTGAGATGATTATGCGGGGATCTAAAATTATTTCTATGTATATCGATAATGTCACATTTTTGGACTCCTTGAACTATTTTCCAATGGCTCTAGCGAAACTACCCAAAGCGTTTGGATTGAAAGATAATTTTCGAAAAGGCTATTTCCCATACCATTTTAATACGCTTGAAAATCAAAATTATATAGGACCTTATCCCGATATGGGGTACTATGGCCCAAATACAATGATGGCAGACGACCGAGAAAAGTTCATTCTTTGGTATAATGAAAACAAAGACAAAGTGTTTGACATGCAAAAAGAAATTGTGACATACTGCGTATTAGACGTAGATATTTTAACACTGGCCTGTTTAAAGTTTAGAGAATCATTAATTAAAGCGGGGAACGTGTGCCCATTTTCAGAAGCTTGCACTATTGCCAGTTCTTGTAATAAACTGTTTCGTCGAAACTTTTTGAAACCGGATACTATCGGTTTGATTCCTCGACACGGGTATCGTTATCGAGATAAGCAATCAAAAATAGCAATTGAGTGGTTAATATGGGAGGAAAAAGTAAGGGGCATTAACATATTGCACGCAGCTAAAGGGAAAGAAATGGTACTAGGTGGTTTGTCCGTCGATGGGTATTGCGCAGAAACCAATCAAGTCTTCGAAATGATGGGGTGTTTCTACCACGGATGCACAAAATGTTTTAAAAATGATCGTGATAAACCAGTATATAATAACGGCGACGAAACCATGAATCTAAGATATGAAAATACCCGTTCGAAGATCGTTCATTTAAATCAATTAGGTTACGAGGTGATAGTAAAGTGGGAATGCGAATTTAATCAAGAGAAAAACTCGGATATGGCACAGTACATATCTGACCACCCACTGATCAATTTTGCGCCTTTAAATACGAGAGATAGTTTTTATGGGGGCCGAACCGGAAACATCAAGTCTTATTACAAAGCGAAAGAAGGGGAAAAAATAAAATACATTGATATCTGTTCATTGTACCCTTGGGTTTGTAAGTATGGAAAATTTCCGATAGGGCACCCTAAAGTTTTACTCTCGAATGACTTTGATCGATCTAGATGTTACCAAAGTAGACGGCATCATTAAATGTAAGGTATTACCTCCGCAAAATTTATTTCACCCGGTACTTCCGATAAAACTAAATAAAAAATTAATGTTCCCTCTGTGTTTCTCATGCGCAAAGAGCTTCAATCAGGGGGAATGTTGTCACAATACGGAGGAGAGGGCCATTGTGGGAACGTGGGTTGTTGACGAACTTGTTAAAGCTTTAGAAAAGGGGTATCAAGTTCTACAAATCTACGAAGTTTGGGATTATAAAACCGAACAATATGATGGGAAATCAGCGGGATTATTTACAGAAATGATGAATAAATTTATCAAAATTAAACAG